TTGGATGGACGAAAATATCGTCAAAAGGGTTTTGTGCGTAGCGTCGCAGCGGTCGAAACAAATGAAAGACCAATCGGTTAAAGTTGCTGGGGCATTGGATAGTCCTTGTGGCATCACAAGCCATACCGGACGGTGTTCTAATAGCCGTCAAAGGGACGTCCTTCTCCCACATCTAGATTTGGTGATTTCTATCGACCAATTTAAGTACACTGAACCCTTTACAGCCGGACACACGATAAATGATTACATCCTTACGCGGAATCAACGTTAGGCGGGAATCGTATGCGCATTTAACTTGTTGTAGGCGTGAACAATACGCCATTTACCAATATGTTTGCTGACACAAAACGCGAGGGGCTTGCTCTCCCTCACCAAACCAGCAGCAGGATTTCGTGCAAATCACTCATCGATACGATCACTTTGCTCGCGCGACAGTGGTCACTGTCGAAGCACTGCATGCTTTGAACTAGGTTCACGATCGATTTCGTGTCGAGCTTCACGTTCGGGCGAAAGACCAGAGGGCGTTTTCGCACTAAGGACGTCATTTTGTATTCAATAACAAGTGAATCGTAAGGGTCACTTGAATCCTTCAAAATAGCCGATCCTCCGTGTGACTTCACATGCTGTTGAGATTTCTCGAGAAACGTGTCATCCATAAAAATTGTGAGCGTAGTTCCGCTTAGTCGACCTTCAAGCGTGGCTATACTACCTCCGCAATGTCGTCATCGTAAGTGACTTTCTGAAGCTGAACCAGCTCTAGGAGGTCATCACAAGTGATTTTCTCAAGCTGCCCCAGCTCTTTCATCGTCGTTAATGGTGCCAAAACAATATCTGCGCTGGTAATTTACAACCAGTCGCTGCATCCACAATACGTGGACCAGCAAATTTGCATGCTACAGTTCCATCATGGGGAGTAGTCCACCTGCGGACTCAACCGGGAGTATCATTTGCGCGATTGACATATTCCGTTGCTTCATTTACAACAGGTGGGAGCATCACCTTAGCGGACAGTTACACCCACTGACCCACAATCCGACTTACCACTGTATTTGTAAAAGTAGTGGAATACACAGCCGCAGTCAATTCCTTCGACCTTCCAGTACACAAATGTCAGCAATATCTTGATGGGGGCAAAAACGCCATTTCTCCCTCATAAACTCTTTTCATTGGACAAATCGCCATACCCACCTACGATCAATTCGTTTTAAGTGGCCACTTTTGGACAACACTTGATCTGCTGTTAGACTTCCTGAGTGGCCACCAGTGGTCACCCCATACGATTTCAAATCTCCCCCAACCTGGGGAATGTCAATTGCATGACATATATCTCCGGCCAATACACAACTTGAGCTTAACCAACAAAAGCTCTCCGAGCTCGCTTCTTGGTACCTCAGGAAATCTTAATGGAAAGATACCGCGCTCAACTTTGCGCTCGAAGAGAAAGAGATCTTGTACCCACAATGCGGATGATTCCTGTGGTGCTAGCCCCTGGCGAAACCGCTGCAGGTGATGAAGAGCTCTTTGAGCGATGGGTGCAGCGGCTTTCCTCGCTGTCTAATTTACAGCGGAGCCACAAGTATGTGGACGTGCTCATAGAACGCCATCTTCGATCGAGCTTACCAACTGTAAGGAGCAACGCTGACTCCCTCCGTATTGTCGCTTTGCGACGTATGGATTAATCCATCACATTCCCGCGAGCTCTGTTCTTTTTCACACGGGTGACTCTACGACCTCAGCAGCTCAGAACCATAGCTTGAGCTCAGCTCATGGCCCTTCGGCTTCCCCGGATACTAGCGAGAAACGCGAAGCGTACGACGGCGCCGTGCGTCATGAAATCTCATAAGCGTCCACGACGTGGCACCTCAAATTCCCACGAGGTCCCGAGGTTTGGGAATCTCCGCCGCTTCACAAGACACTGGGTTTGACTATGTCGACGACGTCGATAAACAAGACGTTTCACGTGATAGTCGACGCCGCTGTTCGCGTCGAGAAGAGTCGGCGGCAGACGATGACGATGTGGTCAATTGCCGTCCGGTGACTCGCGATGCCTTTTCAGCTATTGAGGACAAGGTCCGTCGCCATCGGTGCTCTGCTGAGCACCATGCTGAGGTCGCATACCGCTGTGCGGGAGAGCTCGAGAGTTTGATGCCATTCGTGCACCGACTGCCTCACGTTGAGGAGTATCGCGCTCTGTCAAAGTGGCTCCTAGCCGTCGAGAGAATGAATGCATCACTTTGTGCGACGGTGGAGCGACTGGCCCCGTTGGAAACGAAAATTACATCACTTCGTGCTCAAAAGCAGTTGCTTGTTCGGCTTCCGGGTGATCGAGCGCATGTTGGCGTCGGCCGAATCTCAGAACGGCCTAAGCAAGCCCATATGATGATCTGGTGGGTGCGCATCCTTCTTGGCGTATATGCAAAACTCCGCTTTGCCTTTAAAAGCGTGGACTGAGCTTCGCCTTAAAGACAGCAGATACGGCATGTGTAGGAAGGTTTTTAGTATTTAATAAAAGTCAGTTTTTTTTCTCCGACTTCAATGTTGTCAACATTTCTGTTCCTCTTCCATTTACATACTCCGTCTGCATGTCTTGGCTTAGAGCCATCGCATCGCGAACGTGTCGTAAGACCATCAGTCTGGTCGACAGGAAGTCATCGAATTTCTTACGCACAGTGAGGGGTCTGACATCAGCTAGCTGCTCGGCTATTCTTTCCCCACCGAGCCCTGAGCCATGGGCTGGCGGCGTCAGCGGGACGCGAGGACTAATAAGCCCGTTTACGTAAACCGGGTGTAGCCGGTAGACGCATGCACTGCATCGTTCAGAGCGAACTCCACAAGTGGCAGCATGGCACTCCAGCGCCTCGGCGTCTCATCGCAGACGCTGCCAAGGACGTCTTTGACGACGCAATTCACGCGCTCAGTTTGACCATCGGTCTATGAATGACCCGCTGTTGACATAGTCAACTTGGTGCCCAGCACCCTGAAGATCGTCGTGTAAGCATGGGTCTCTATCAGAGATGATTGACTCCGGGAGTCCATGTTGTCAAAAGACACGGGGGCCGAGCGCGAGAATGGGCAATGTCGAGTGACACTTCGGTCGATGCGGCGATGCCCTCCCCCGTATGGATCTGAAGCTGTAGCGTTCACGAGTGTTTTCGCTGACTAACGAGGCATATCGCGTGCGATCGCGTTTCCTTGCCGCCTGACAGGGCAAGAAGGAATTGGTGGGGTTTGTCCAAGAGTTGTGTAACGGTGGCACAATGACCGTGATATTTCTGCATATTTCTCACTATACTTGCGCAAGTGGTTTGGCCTCGCCAACGGTATTACCTCCGGACCGAGGTGTGCGTCATGAGATTGACTTGGTTCCGGAAACCAAATACTGCGTAACACGCCAATGGCCTGCCCAAGGAGTAGTGTGACGTCATTGACGCCTATTTCTGTTCCGAAGCACGAGGCAGATGGTGCGTGAGAGCAAGTTTCCCCATTCGACGCCCACCTTTTGTGTCTAGAAGCCGGACGGCAAGCGGCGTATCGATCACGCTTACAATAAGCTCAACGCTGCCACCATTCCGGCACAGACGCCGATTCATAGAAATGATGTACTCCACTTGGTCGATGATTATTACCAATTGCTCAAGAGGTCGAGTAATATTCCGCTAACAGCTGTGGGTACTCCAAGCGTGATGTTCTGGAAGTGGCTGGTGTTGCCCCAAGGGCTGTCAAATCCACCAGCAACATTTAATCGTCTTGTGACGCAATTGTTAAGGCCCCATTGGGCGTATAGACAGACATACTTCGACGAAATCTTTGCCCACAGTCGTGCGGGGCACGGGAGGACAGACACATCGTTCATTTGAGAGCGGTTCTCGAGTGCATGCGCACGAATAAGCTGTAAATACCGATAAGTAAATCTTCGGCGCGGAAGAATGGGGATTTTCCTCCGCGCCGAAGGGTGCTTCATCGGAAAGTGTGGCCTTCAAGCGGATACGGCTAAGGGCAAGGCCACTGTGGACTGGCTGGTTAAGGAATTAAATAGACTTGCGCAGGTGGTTTGGCCTCGCCAACTACTTGCACAAGTATATGCAGAGATGTTACGGCCATTGTCGAACCTCCTTAAGAAGGATACGAAATGGTGTTGGGACACCTAGCATCGGAAGAGTTTTGATAGGGTCAGAGACAGCCTCCTTCATGCACCACTACTGGCGTTGACAGACCCAATCGTCCTTTTTTGTCACCGGCTGTGCACTGCTGCAAGCAGACGTCGAAAGGCGAGATCGGGTTGTCGCGTTCAAATCTCAACAGCTCGAAGTTGCAGAGAAGAACTACCAAATCTACGACAAGGAATTACTTGCGATGAAGTATGCACTTGGCAAGTTCAGGGTGCACCTGCTCGGCTCAAAGTCGTTTGTAATCTACACAGATCATGCGTCATTTAAGCACTGCGACTCAGTCGCCTCTCCTCTCGCAGAGAATGCTTAGGTGGTTCTCATTCATTGCAGGATAAATCTTCGAGGTGAAGTATAAGCCAGGAAAGAAGAATGCTTTAGCTGATAATCTGTCACGCAGACCGGATTATGAGCTTGCTCGTGTCACAACGGTGATGTTGTCAGTGACGGATTGTTCCGCGGTGATGGTATGTGTCTAGCGATGCTACAGGCTCCAGGGGGCAAGGAATCTGAAAATTTGGACAAGAAGTTGTCGGCGCGATTGCGCGCATGGTTACGCCAATATTCGTTGAATAACGGGTTGCTGTATTATAGCACCGATTCGACGGTTACCGCATGAATTGTGGCTCCGCATGAAGAGGATTTGAAGTACCGTATCCTCTATGAGCCCACTCAGTCGTCTTCTCGGTCGTTAGAAGACGTACAGCTCAGTGGGTTGCAACTAAAGCTGTACAAATGGAAGATCACAAATGTGCGCACGTGTGAGACGTGTCAGAGGTTGTAACTCTCTCCGAATGCGGCAGCGCTGCTGGCCAGTTTACCGGTACTCTTCAGATGTTGGCAATTAATGAGTATGGACTTGTGTTTGGCCTGCCGAAGGACCCGGCGGGCAACACGGGTGTGGTGGTATTTGTGGACTGTATGAACAAGATGGCTCGTCTTGCGACAGTACCGGACACGATCGACGGTGTGGGTATAACGATGCTGTTTGTGGACCGTGCCATTCGACAACATGGACTCCCGGAGTCAATTGTCTCGGATAGAGTTCCGCGCTTCACTGGGAACTTTGGGGTGCTGGGCACCAAGTTGACTATGTCAAAAATGGACCTTTCGCAGATATATGGTCAAACTAAGCGCGTGAATCGTTTTATTGAAGACGTTCTTCGCAGCGTCTGCGCTGAGACGCCGAAACGCTGGAGCGCCACGCTGCCACTCGTAGAGTTTGCTCTGAACATTGCAGTGCATTCATCTACCGGCTAAACGCCATTCAACGTGATCAGGCTTATTAATCCTCGCGTCCCTCTGACAGCGCCATTCCATGGCTCAGGGCTTGGTGGGGGAGGAAGGGCCGAGCAAAAAGCTGATGCCAGCCCCCTCACCGTGCGTACAGAAGTCGGAGACTTTTTGTTTACCTGCCGAGAGTCTTACGACACGTTCGTGATGCGATGGCTGAAAGCCAAACTTCCATTGTCGGCAACGGTGTCAAAAGAGCATCTCTCTTGGTTGCTTCACAACCAGTCGTTGCATCCATAACATGTGAACCAGCATATTCGCATGCGATATTTCATCATGGAAAACAGCTAGAAAGTACAAACCTGGTAGGCTTTATGTGGTTGCAAAAGGTCTCTTACCACCTTAAGTGCAAATTGAATTATGCCGCGATTGTGACGTCGTGAATCGATGGTGCGATACGTCCGGTGTACGAGTCAGACACAACATGTGCTGCACTATTGAATACTTGAAAAAGCTATAATTTTTCAGCTCGAGCTCGCTTTTGCCAGAGGTTTTGGCTGCATCGATTAATATTTCTGAAACGCAGTGCTTTTCCGCTTGACATTCAACGTATGGTTGTATCTCATCACTAGGACTGAATACTCTCTTGAGCGGTCTCCTTGAAAGAGAAAACATACCGCTTTGTAGTCCTCGCGAATCAGTTTTCCGGCATGTACGAATGGTAAGCGATTATGGGCATGCGAGAAACGTGGTGAAAGGTAAAAGACCCGTCACATGCATTGACGCCTTAATTCAGGGTGCGCAGTAATTGCCACCAATTGTAAATGACTTTTATCGTTCAGATCGGCATGGCGTTTTCTGTAGACTGCTTGAACTAGATGACTCATCTCGCTGCACTATCACTGATGGGGTTAGAGCCTAGGTGTTCTCAATAAAGATTCTCGTCAGCATGTCCAGCCTTTGGCAATGATCCTGGTTTGCATTTTGCAGCAAAATTTCGGCAAATTTGTTTGAGATACCTTGCACTGACCGAAATGTATATAGCACACCAATTGTTGGGCGGACTGTTTAAAGCGTGGATACACGACTATACAGGGTGTAAATCAAATGTCAGACACACAAAGTATATGGTCCACACAACATATGTACTGAGACCTGACCCATTACATGTTTTTGTTAAAGAGAAATTAGGCGTCAAGTGCTCAGTTTAAGTCACTGTGGCAGAATGACACGATTTACCTATGTATTACGTAGATTGACATCTGCCAAAGACAAACGGAGCACATTATTATATGATGTGTGTTGTAAGGTTTAATTAAACGTGATTTAACTATCTGTTCTGTAGGTTTTGGCTTTCGCCAAAAAGAATCATCTATGGTCGAATGAAAGGAATGACTTACGCTCATAACCTCCCGGATGAGACGGATCACAATTCGTGTTCTATGTAGACTTGATCAAGCTGTATCACAATTTTGTTCATATTAGCCACGTGCACAGGAAGCGTCCAGCTGAAGACGAATGCTGTCTCATTTAATCATTTTGTACGTGCTTCAGATAATCGGCTTCATCATGGATCCGATGACCTGAGGCATAAATCTTTATGCTAATAAAAGCCGGACAGCATTACTTGATTTGCAGATGAAATCTACTTCAATGAAGAACAACGCAAAGGTCAAAGTTCTTACAAGAGATATAACCAACATCGCTTTGGTTGGTTGGAAGCCCCTTGCTCTAAGAGCTCCAGTGTTCTATTGTGGCAAGAGTGCACTAGCATTGTTGACACCGATTATTTGACCCCCCCGCCTTTACTTTTGCTGGGTAAGTGGCAAGTATACATCGCGCTGTGCCACAAAAAAGTGAGGCCCGACCTATCTGTATCAACGGACCCATATATTAAACTGACTGATTTCATCGCGAGCTTGGGATGATGACAAATAACCCCCCGACGTATACATCGCGCTTAAGGCTTTGCGAGCTCAAGCATCAAATCACGTTCTAGTATGGCGACTCTACATTATAAATTGGCTTGTACAGCCGCAAACTGAGCAATGCGATACATTTTCTTTATTCAACACACGAATTGAGTTATACAATTCTCGCGCTGTTTCCAGGCCTTAAAGCTGATGTATAGTCATCGCGAAGGACACACATTGTCGAAATCACTGCTAAATCATCGCAAGCAGTACTTCTTAGCTATGGGGATTGTAGACGCCTACTGATCAGATCTCTCATACTCGTTTCACTCTCAAATAAAGCTGCAGACTCTTCGTTAGTGTCTACGGGATGGGCCGCGGTGAGGCCGACAGCTTCCGTTTGTTCTGGTAGATCAAGGCCAAAATCATACAATGCTAGAGCCGTTAGAAACGCCTTGGAGCGGCTTCTGTTTACAAGGAACGGTATGACTATGTAGTGTCTGGGAAGAAACAAGTGGTGTATTTGCTATTTTCACATGTAATCATCTCGCCTTTCACATCAAAAGAGAATATATGATTCCACTTATAGAGGCAGCGCTCTTCGTAGCGGCACGTCGGGCATTCGTAGGGTGAGACTTCTTCGACAATTTCTGCTTCTAGAGCTCGCGCTAAAGTCTTTTTGCAAGGTGTTGCGACTAGGATAACAGGCAACAGAGTTAACGACTTTGATGAGGAATGTATAACAGGATAACTACCTTGCAATGGGGCAGCCGTACACCTTGCACATAGAGGCTTATGACTCATTAAGTCCGCGTGCACGAACACGGAAAGAACATTTGGTGTAAGCTTCATCTCGAGGCAAACCTGGGAGCCCTTGAAATAACTAGATTCCGAGCTTGCTATTCTTTCTCTAGTGTGGCGACCATCAAGACTTTAGTAAGGTGTACTAATACGAGACACATCTGTTTTACTAGCTGCAACACAAAAATTTATGTGCTGCTAGAATGAAACAAGCCGAGCACGTTAAAGAGTCCTGTCACCTTCTTTAGAACAAGTATTTTGGTGGTTTTGAGCTCAACTTTACTGTTGAGTAGACAAAAGCGTAATGTATATCTATATAATACGAAGCTTACCCCGTTACAGCCTTCATCACCACAGTTTGTATCACATCGAGGTCTCACGTAATTTATTTGCGCAATGGTGAACGCTCCACCACCTCCACTGTATCGAGGATTCTTTTATAAACACTCAACCTAGAGGATCCCGGGTATTTTCACCGAAAACTCTTTGCCTTACGTGCCCAAACGGCTCAACGAGCTTCTGAATCCGTGCACTCTCATGGCCGACGGCCTACATGTTGTTTTCTGGTGAGACATCGACTACGACGAGGTCCAGTTTGTTGCAAATTATATGTACTAGCCTCAGTATGCCCATCCTGCAAATCTTCTAGCGCAAAACTCGCAACGCCTATACGGACTTATCGTCGCAATTCTAAATTCAGTTTATCAGACGTTGACCCCACCACGATTGCTAACTTATTACGTGTCTATTGAGGCAGGCTTTCTACCCAGCTAATGAGAAAAACACGCGCTCGAATTACCAGTGTGTATCTGTACCTAGAGCAATAGTGATCAAGTCGTACCCATATTCGTCTGCATCTTTGCATCGAATGCTGATGAGAATATTTGAAAGGTAAAGTGCTCGTTATGCACAGTAGACAATAAGGGCGTTGCGCCTCACTCATTTTACAAGCCATATCTAGTCAGCAGGCATACATCCAAAGTATCGTTAAATGCTTGAGACCTCGAGAAATACAGCACGCAGTAGACATCATGGGCAATTTGTCAGAACTTCTTGCTGGTAGCACCTTTCTAAATTCATGGGTTAGATAGACAGAGATTTGCCAAATCTGAATGTAAAGGCCAGCTTCACTTGACAATGGAAGGTGCGACGACTGCGCACCTGTCCCTTCTCCCAGAAATGTTAAGCTAAGCCGTAAGCAGCTACATTGCTTGATAGATCTTGTCAAAGTTTGAGCTCAATGTTCCGAGTAAGGATATCCCCCTTACTAAATTCGTATTGATGAGAGCCGGTAGAATCGCCTGTCCAATACCCGCTCCACGTCTAAATATCCGGCCGGTGCTTGCTTTCAATCAGTGTCGCCGGAACGTCACGCTCCTTCAGTCGGCTTTCAAAAGCTATTTCGGGTGATAAAGTCACGTTGACTATCTCTAAGAGTCTTGACGTGAGGTCGAGATTGACCTGAGCTCAGATGCGATTGTTCGACGCAAATTTTGAGATTGGCACGAGGCACCGCGAGCGTTATCTTTGCCCCGAAGAAGTTAATGACTTAGCTATAAGATTGTTGACACCAACCTTTTCTATCAACAGTAGGCGACGGTGTCACTGTGCAGAATAATACATGCTACATCTGGATTACAAATAGCGAAAGGCCAAGAAGGCGAACCTTGGAGCTGGCATTTCCGTTTGTCATATCAGGAAGCCTCTCCATATTGAGCTTAGTAGACCTTCACTGCAGCTCTCGAAAATGTTACAATTTAAACGCAATGATGTGTACATGCCCATAAGCATCGGCTTCAAGCACAACTTACAGCAAAGGCTGAAGCGTCATTGACTATGTGAAATAGCAGTTCCATATTTGAATGAGCCAAAACTAGACAAACATATGACTTTCTTTTACTGCCTTAAAGGCCGTCTCTTCTTGCACACCTGGTACCATCAAACTTTATTTACGATGATTGGTGAGGGACCATGCTATGCTGGTATCAACTAGTTGTAAGAGTCGAGCAGATTTTCTGCATCTCTTTAGGACTGCAGCACTGGCTAGCCTTTACTGATCCTGATCTTTGCAGGATATGACTTTTGGGACCGTGCTTTGTAGTAAAATCTAAGAGAGAAGAGTCTCGTCGGTGCCAAATACAACCTTGTCAATATTGGAGACAGCTTCTTGAGGCACATTGAATTGAGCACTGATCACAAATCGTTGACCTAAAAATTGGCACATCCGATTTCATATGTTTTACACGCTTTAGACAAATATCTCGTAAAATAACTTAGGTACACATTGCACAGTATGGCGCACTTAGCTGTGTCACACGACGATTGGATATTACTAGTGCGTTAAACGGTCCATGGAAAATAATGAGCCATATCCAGATCACCCCGCTAGAAGTTTGAACAGTATATCATTCTTTCCATGGAGTAGGTGATAAGACTCATCCACCTGGCCAAGAGTGCCGAACATTGGTGCAACATACTATGTTGCTTTGCGGTACAGCGTTTTTTTGCAATAGGAGTTAGCGCCGAAACAGTGGCTGCATTTAGCTAGTTGTTAGCGTGCACAATTTTTCACCCGACATGGGCCTTTTTAGCACGGAAAGACGACGTTAAGTGGAACACTTTAATGTCGCTTACCAAACCTGGCTTCGAGTTTTGCATGAAATAAAGCGTCTATGAAATCTGACTTTTTTCTTGGTTGAGATCATGGACGTACGACACAACATTTAATTCCGAAAAGTCAATTTGTTTCAACATTCGGCAGCAACATTCATGGGAGGCTTTTGTCACAACGTCGTTATATTCATTCAAAAATGGATAAATGAATCTGTAGGATCCTGAGGGACGCTCAGAGTTCTGCAGGTGAGTTTGGCGACTGAATGATTCATTATGAATGATGCGTTTGGCTCTTACTGCAGTAGTAGCCGGCCACATGAATACTCAAAGCGGGATGCAGTGGAAGTGGTAACTTACTCCAAAATGCCTGTAAAACGCTCCAACAAACTACAATTGTCTGCTGATACAGCTATTTCGGTTGTACCAAACAATGCACAAACCTCTATTTTGGCGAGTTGTCAGTCTTAAACGTGCAGGTCATGGCGAGTCGGATATAGAGAGCCACATGTACGCTATGCCTGTGTATACGCACTTACACACATTGCTAATAAATATGTGGAAGTGCGTATTTGGCGCCTAAAGTAGATGGCTTTGCTGGAAAGTATGTCCAAACCACAGATAGGTCTGTTCAGTGCTAAGGGTGAAAGAATGAGGCTTGGCCTGCCTAACTACCTGCTTAAGAATGGTCCTAACTATACCAACATCGATTGGACCTTGTCTAATTGTCAATAGGGATGGCAAAAGGTGCTTAGACGCGGTAGAACAGGCAGATTTTGAGATGTGAATGAAAACAAAATGGGCACCTCAACTCCGACCCTTCCATTCTCTTTCGTCTTTGATGCCCGAACCGTCGTCACTGTACTTTTTACCAAGTAGACACCATTCGACATTAAATTGCGACCGCGTTTGAGCCCCGTTCGTCCGAATCGAAAAAGTAAAATCTTACAACTCGCTATAAGGGCTACTTGCCAGCTCAAAGTACAACATGTGCTTTGGTTGTGTGCGATATGGGATCTGTTTAAATTATGCGTCGTTGCGCATAGTGATTTCGTCACCGTATTTCTCACAAGGACTAAGAACGTAATTCTTTTCATCGGATAAAATTTTACGACTGTACAAAACCCTGGTTGATAATAAGGTGATGGATACACTTTCAAGTCTATTCAAATATAAAGACTCGCATTTTTCGGTGTTGGCGATGCTCTTGATGTATTGCGTTGGGAAAAGTCTTTGGGAAGCATAAGTTCGTTAGCTCAAATTTCGATTCAATAAATCGCATGGTTGCATATTTGCACCGTTATTCATTATTTCACATCATGAAACTCAGCCGAAGGCGATACCTCGTCATGGTTATCCCAAGTACACGATACCGCACGAAGAACATGCTTCTATATGTAAAAACAAAATTATTACGGAACTGTACTGGTGGCTGAAGCTGCAAGCATAAATAAGAACTCATGTTCGCATGTGTGAAACATGTATGTTGCTAAACAACCGCTGCATGTGTCGGTAGCTTGCCACTGCCGTTAAGATCTGCAGTCAATAAACACTGATCTTAATTTGGTGTGACGTGGTGTCAATACGACGACCGAATGTCAAGATTAAATTGTCGTGAAGACACAGTCCATGTTATTGATTATCTACCGTTATGACAAGTAGACACGCTGGGTTAGGTCGAGTTTTTTGCTTGTCTGGAACGGATAAGACGACTGCGGGTCCGATCCGAGGAGTTCTTCAGGATCATTGATCCACTTCGTGCGTTCAGCACCCTAGTATAGCTTCATCCAGAAGCATTGACGAGTTAATCTCCGGTCTTATAATGACCACCTCAGCTAAATTGTCTGCCTTTAAGGCGCCGCCAAACTCTTCGAGGACATCTCGTCCAGCTCAAAAAGAGCATCCACCGTGGGAATAGTCTCGATGGTGACGTTGCCGTCTTCCTCTCCCGTCAAACCGTTAACAAGGGTGTATAGCTATGCTCTATCTTCTACGGTAGACACACCCTAGGTCAGGGCGACGCCTTGCGTCATGCAGATAACATACGGCTTTGCCGCTTCATAGAGGTAGGAACACGCACTCGGTGTCGTCCAGTGTCTTCACTCCTTGCTCCATCGGAGCTTTAATGCAATTGACAACATCCGACGATGAGCTGCTATTTCTGCAGACTTCATCCAGTGGATAATGTGCCACTCCACGCTCATCAGAAGGGCCTTGCTCAAGATGCCTCGGACCTCGTTCATCCATGCCACTCTTGGCATGCAGCAACCACTTCGAATCGCCCTCGGTGCCTTGGACCTCGTCCGACCATGCCCTTCTTGGTAATAGCAACTGCTTCGTAACGTAAGCAGTGCTTAGTGGGTTACGTGCCATTACACGTGCATCCCAAGGGTGTCGCGATTGAAGCCTCGGCCCAAGGCCGACCATGCCACTCTTGGCGTGCAGCGACTGCTTCAATACCTGAGTAGCGCTCAGTTGGTTACGTGCTACTCCATGATCAGCCCGCGAGCCACGCTTGGGACTCTTGTCTAATACACCTTCGGTGTTTGACAGGCACATTGACTGTTTCGGTTCAATGCCCACGCCAATAGCGCTTCTACTTCATGGCTCGCCAAAGCTCCACCAGGAGAAGTGCGCGCAGCGCCCAAGATCTTTGACCTCCAATCAATGCATGGCTCATGGTCTTCCAACCATTCCATAACAAGGATAAC